ACTGATCATTTAATTCCTGTAAGTGTCTGAATGTCTCCTGTGTTCTTACCTGCACAGAGACACGAAAGTAAAAACAGTCTTGGGTTAATATCTTAACTTCGGTGTAAAAAAAATAAGAATAAAAAAAAAATAGTGCAATGGAAGACTTTTACGTAAATGTATTTTCACAGAAGACATGAATGGCGATAAAACACCAACCCACACAGTCGTCGCCAGGATTACGTCAAAAGTGTTAGATACGACAAATCATCTCTCCTAAAATTTTTCATCCAGGTCTTTATGAGCCACATTTTCCATCTCAGAGGGCCAAAATCCACTGCTTGTCTGTGGAGGAACAGCGACGTTCCAGCTCGGAGGTGATCATCCGCATGGTATACATATATTTTCAAATCCTGGAAGTTGTCAACAACAGCTCTCAGACCACCCAGCCACAGACACGTTGTGAGCACAGACACACCCACCAACGCACACAGCGGGTCCTGCTTCAAAACAGACACAAGTACACACTTTGTGTCCTGGGAGATACACACACACACAGAGGCTCACTGTGTCATAATGACCCGATTCCTATTCTACGAGGCCACACTCACTTCTGTTTACTTGTGTTTGTGAACCAACCATCCGTGGAATCTTAATTGTCTCGCACATGAAACGCGCCGCCTCAGACGGGGATTAGCTTTGATCGAATTTTTTTGCATGTACAAGCTGTTTGCGAGTGGGACGGTTTAGCCCACACTAGTAAGCGTGAGCAGTGGTGTGCATACGATGACCTCCGATGACCTCCGATGACCTCCCGTGAAACGCCCATTCTGTGCTACGTCTGGGACGGTTGAACTATTTCCCAACAACAGCCTGTGGATTTCAATTATTCTTTGTATTTTTTTTTTCCTTGTCATTTTTGTTTTATGTAACCGCCATGCTCCTTTTCAGTGTTTTCAAAACACTCCGCTTGTCCATGTGCTCGCTCGGCTGACCCGTTTCGACGGGAAGCGTCCAGCTGCTTCTGTTGGGGCCCTCTGATGATTGTGTAACGCCGCTCCACGTTACCTCCGAGTGTAAACAGAAAGAGCTGTGGCCGATCATTGGTCGGAGCCTGGCCTCCACCTTCAAAGTTTGTTGGCTTTCCTCGAAGGCCCGGCTGCTCTCAAGCGGTCGATGGCATCCTCTCGTAAAAAGTTTCCGTTTTTTTTTTTTTTTACCAGCACACATGGCTGCGCTGGAATCTGTACTCCTGTCTGAAAACACATATTTACATACGCTGTGTTGAAAAGACGTGTGGCCCTTGATTTTCCTCACTGTCCCACGTTAAAATTTGGACAAAGCCTTTTCTGTTTTAGGTCAGTTGGGATTATTATTGTTATTCCTTTTTGATGAATGCCAACATAACGGGAAATAAGGTGTTATTTCTTCCTTTAAATTCAGAAATGTACAGATTCGGATATCACAATGTTTTTAATCAGATGTATTTGGAGTACAAAGACCGTGTTACCGACAGTCAGTTCAATTTTCTGGGAGTGTGTCTGACTGGTTGTGTCAGAAGGAATGGGCCAGATTTGCAGCAAACTACTGTAAGAAGATTGTGGAAAGAGACCTAATGCAATGTAGAGAATTAGTATGTGCAGCTACGACTTTGAATCAATAAAAAGTCTCTTTCTCCTTCTCATGATTCTGAGGAATGGTCATAGCAATCCTGCCGGATGTAGCACAGGACAGGCTTAGCCTGGTTTAACATTGGCAGCAATGTTAAATCTGCGTCTTTGTACCCAGAGTGAACATCTGCCTTAAAGCGTTTACGATGCATCAATTTAAGACACTGACATTCTTATGAACTATGTGTCAGGGCAGTCAAAGTGGAAAACAGCGAAGGTTCATCAAGCTGGGATAGAGAGTAAATCTCCTTGAGACAACCCGCTGAGGCTTTGGCTTGAGTTATCCAGTTGACTGCCTTAACCTCCTCCAAACATGTCGCAACATGTGTGTATACGTGTGTATGCAGGCGTGCGGTCAGCAGTTCTACGTTACTGATTAGAGGTGCAGAACGAGTGCAGGACTTTTGCCAACAGTCGCCGAGCCCTCCTAAGAAAACGTAGCTTTCATGAATTTATCTTTATTCAGGAATGTGTCTTTGTTGCAAGGGAAATTTCAGAAATAGCAGCATGAGAGAGAGTGTTACACACTGATGTAGCTCGTGTCCCCGATACAGAAACGCCACAGTGAGTCCTGACCGTGGCTCAAGCAGTTCTTGTTGAAAGTGTTATGGGGACCACAGATATAAGGAATGACTGACGCTAAAGCTATTGTCACACCGTTTATCCTTAGACATGCACGTTGGCTCGTCTGAAAATGGTTTGACATGTGGGTTCAATGCAGAGGTCCCGTATTTGACCGGTTACTTTTTTAAACGATGGAAAATTTTGAAGCCCGTCGGTCATTTGACACCCTTGACTGATGGGAATTACAGATTTTACGCAAAAAGTTCATTGCAGAGGCAACAGAAATCAATTAATAAGAAAAAAAAACCTTTCTCAATATCATGTCATAGACACTGAGCTCCTTTCTGACGCTGCAAGCGCATTGAAGCGCTATGGACGGGACGCTGGTTCAGAAGACCAAACCTTTGGTAGAAATGGCGCATTTAATTCAAGTCTCCATTACACACTAGTGAAAATTAAAGAGATGTTGTGTTAATCCATTTTACAATATACCACGGTATGTGTAGGGTTAGGGTTAAACTACCTTTAGCCTTCATGTTTATCCTTTTCCATAAACATTGCAGCATCAGGGGATGAAAGTTTGATGCTTTGTAAAAGTCCATCTGTGCTTCCAAGTGGTCACATGGTTTTTCGCGAAACTACTCCGGAAATAATTGGCACTCCAAGCGTTAGCAACCTGAGGTGAGTGACTCTTCATCAGTGCAGACAGAGAGTTCGCATAGCACAGCATGAGATCAAGGAGAGAATTGCTAGATTGTTGCTACAACATTTGAGAAGCACATGTGTAATTTCTTTTGGCAGTGAAAAAGATGAAATGGCATTTCTGACTTGTGATTCTCATTCCACGGAATTTTTCAAAAAACAAACTCTGTGGTGACCAAGTAAATGTATGAAGTTCTGTATAGAGAAAGCTAATACTAAAGTGTTCCTTGTTCAAAGTCACTTGTCTGTATTAGACAGATACAGCATAGGGTGAATGGAATATGATCCACAATAATAAATCTTTTCAGGACCCTTTCGTCAGTAAGTCCCAAAGGTAAATTTAATGTATTATGTTTTCTGTAATCTCACACTCTTAATCTACATGTCGACCCCGAACTACATGTGCTTCAATGTTCCGCCACTAATCAGCTGTGAGCTCACTTCCTTAACCATATAGACCTTCTTATCTTAAACTCTTTGAGCGTAAACTCTGGATTGGGTTGAGTTTGCTGATTGCACTGCCAAACATTACCTTCTGTGTGAGGAAAGATACTGTCCACAGAGCTAAAGCGAGTCCAATTTAACTCCCCCCACCCCCCCCCCAAAAAAAAGTTCACGGACTTGAAAGACTCAGTCAGATAAGGAATTGCAATCTTTACTTCAATGCCTAAAACTGTGAAGGAATTGCTACAGATGTCGCTGAGTGCAGCTGCAAAGGCCCATATGTTGGTTTTGTAAACAGGGGCCCACATGGAGGCCTGATCCCATATTAAAACAGCATGGACATTTGACCGATTTACAGATTGTCTTTGGGTTCCTTTTCCTTTTCTTGCAGAAGTGTGCATCTTCTTTGGTGGAAGACGAAAGTATTTCTGCTGCTGTCACTCTGTTGGTTGTGTGTTGAGAGATGTCATTACCTGCCCATAAACGCCTAGCGCTGAGGAATAATTATGGGACTAGCGAATATGTAAGTTGATAAAGCCACTGTCTCCATGTAGAAAGAGAGGACCAGTAAAAAACAAATGATGAAGTTTAAATTTTTTGTAAAAAAAAAAAAAAAGGCTTCTTTAGAAAGCTAATTGAATACCAACGTCTGTAGCATAGTTTATAGGTGGCACTGAACCTCTCATTAGTCTTTTAATGAGAAAAACCCGATGTAAGGAAACTGAAACAATATAAAATTTTAATATAATATTGATTGTGGAGAAATAACTTGCCGTTTATCCATCCAGCTTCTGTGGCTTTGCTGATTGACTTGGGCATTCATGGGAAGGGCAGAAAAGAAAACAGACGAGGCTGTGAGCAGCCCGTACATGAGATTGATTGTCAGTGCTAAAAACGTCAGCTGTATGTAGACCTGATTTAAGAGTTAATTGCAGGTGAGCATCTGTCTATGAATGGCTTAGCCAATAACTGAAACTAGCAAAAAGTTTTAGCTGGAGTGAGCTGAACTCACAGGCGGTTCTGGTCAACGGCTTGTTGATGATGTAACACGAGACCATGTGGGGTAAATATGTGCTACCACAAAAGAGGAGGCTGTGGGTGGAGAAAGCGCAGAACACAGAGAGGGACTAGCCTAGCGGCCCAATGTTTTATTCAACCTCCATTCAACAGAACAGAGCCAGACTCAGGCCCTCATAAAAAAAAAAAAAAAAAAAAAAAAAAAACACAGAAGAAGAAGAAGAAGAAGGAAACAGCTCAACTTTAGAAACTGATCTGGTTTGTAGCCACATGAATTGAAATGCAAAAATAAATCATCTTACATGTCTTTAAATGACGTGTTCTCATCTCAAAATGAAGTCATTCTAAAATAAATAAATAAATAAATAAAACCACAGTAGTTATAGTCCCAGTGGCAATACCCACTGCAGCCATGTTGAATGTTTTGCCACTCAGAGGGGGTGTGTCAACAGCGGAGCTACGTCGACGTAGGAACGTAACTAAGCGACCAGCAGCGCGTGAGATAAGTCAGACTTTGCAGCGCAGTAAAAGGAGGCGGGGCTGAGCTGGAGAGAGAGAGAGAGACAGAGAGAGAGAGAGAGGAATGGAGAGAGAGAGAGAGAGAGAGAGAGAGAAAGAGAGAGAGAGAGAGAGAAAGAGAGAGAGAGAAAGAGAGAGAGAGAAAGAGAGAGAGAGGTTTCACCCCGTTGTGCACGCGCGCGTGCGTGGTAGGGCCGAGACTATGGAGAGTCAGCTGGTCGAAGAACGGGAGGGAGCGTGGAGTGGGCCGGACGTGTGCATGTTGACGTGCGCGTGTGTGAGCAAGAAAAAGCGTGAGCGTGTGTGTATGTGTGTGTGTGCGGTTTGTACGTGCGCAAGGACAGCGCCTCGGGGGACAAGGTGAACACGGCAGCGGACAGAGGTTTTTACTTTGGGGGTGGGGGGGAAGCAGTTTGTGCCGAGATTCAGACGAGGAAAGTTGGAGCGTTTCAACCGGTCGCTGATACGTCGTGCGTCCTGGACACGAGCTTGTCCTGCGTGCTGTCCTTTCATAACCGTAAGCACTTTGCGTATTTGTTTAGGAACTGATTTCGGAGCGCATTTGCTTCAAGTCGGACGCGGCGGTTCCTCTCGGTCGTGTGGGAACGTGCGGCGGAGCGACAGACGAGCTTCTCGCGTCAGAAATGACTTTACAAGACAGTTTTTGTCACGCTAAAAACACACTCTTCTGGGGCGTCTTTCAAGTCTGACGTTAGTTTTGTTCATGTCGCCTTTTTGATTGAAAAAGAGCGTCAGGCGTCCTACAGGTTAACCCTGCGTAAGCACACAAACTTTTGGTTTTGTTGGAAGCAGTTTGCTCTCTTTAAATCTCTCTCAGTGTCAGTGAGTGGTGCAATGATTATTTCGTTCACAGTGGTGCTTCCTGAACTAATGCCAGGCATTTCCCTCAAGCAGCAGCTGCAGCATGTTTAGAAGCTGCTCCCATGCAGGACTAGCTAACTGTGTGTCATTTCTCTCAGCTCCGAGTTCACCTAGGACAATATTTTTTTTTTGCATGCTGCTGGTGCATAAAGAGGACCACATGCAGGACCATCACTCTTGGTGTGATTTTTTTTTTATTTGGCAGAGATGCACCCCAGTCTGGAGTGTGGAGAAACACTCCAGCAAGTGTGGCATTATTAAGTTGCTTCATAGTCCATGAAATCTCTCTGTGTTCCTGTATTGGTAGTAAAGCTGAATTATTCCCTTTCTCTGCAGGAGGAGACACAAATGTCACTAAATGTCAAGCGCTCGCTGCTTTGGCTCAGCTTTCAGGCTTATTAGGCTTGCACATACAATCAGCAGGGCTTGCCCTTTCCGCCGGCAGTTTGGTTGGTGTGAGCAGCCCGATCCTGTAGAGGAAGAACCCACGGGACTCAAAACTGGACATAAGTTGAAAAAAAAAAATTAAATAAAAAGGAAGGGTGGCGTGGAGGGGGTGCGTGCAATTATCAGGAGTGGAGAGAGTGTCTTTTTCAATGTGTGTCCAACTGTGCACACACATTTGGACACGCATTCTCAGTCAGCGAGAGCGACCTAAAGATAGCCGAGCCCCTGTGGAAACAGTAATTAGTGGGGTGAAAGGAGAAGGCGGAGGCGGAGCTGCTGGTGGAAGACTTATTATTTGAATCATCTGATATGTGTTGTATAATGTTCTGCACAGAGAGGGGAAGCATAGGGACATTAGATGGAGAGATGGCTGGACTTTGTAGATTGCTGAACTTTGTTGAAGTATACATGTGGTTCTGGTTTCAGTAACAACAAGAGCTCCGACATGTGAGCTCAGCTTCTTGCGAACCAGGCGGATTGTGAGGTTCTGCAGGTAGTTGAGTGGATTTTCATGGTGATTAGGGCTTTCTAGCCGGGATTCTGAAACTAATAAGTGGGCATTAGGCCGGCATGAGGTTCCCAGGTTGTGATAATCCTGATTGTTATATTTAATCAAAAATGTATGCCGTAATTAGATTACTTTTGCTTAAAAGAGAAGCGCGAAAAATACTCGCAGACGTACGCAAAACCACAAAATGTACACCAGCTAAATTTAGAAACGCTTTTCACAGTAAGCTGGATAAGTTGCTAATGTTTGGCTTTTGCAGGTTGGCATGGGCAAAACAACCATATTATGGGCTCAACGCGTTTTTTCGCCACTTGGGACGAACCCAACTGACAGGTTGTGTTGGCAACGGTGACAAAAGTTGAACGCATTTCAGCTTTCTGGTGTCACATTTACATATACAAGCTGCGAATTTCACGTGCACAAATTTCGCCTGTCTCCTCATCACGCAGGTTTCGTAGGAAACGAGGGACGGCACTTCCTGTGCTCCAAGCCCACTGGCCGGTGAGGCTGGCCTTCAGTCGGTAGCCGCAGCTTTAAAATGCCAGGGATGCATTAGTTTCCAGACCACGTCTTCGTAAGCAGTTTGCACTTATAAGCGCAGAAAAAGTGAAGAAGTCTCCTTTCAGCTAGCTGACCTGCAGTCCACTAATGACGCTCTGGGAAGAGCATCTCTGTGGTACTTGGAGCCATAAATCCTTCAAAAAAAAAAAAAAACTCCAGGCCCATTCCAGGACTTTCTCTTGACTCTCATTATCAACTTTAAAACGACAAGATGGAAAATGTCTGTGGCTTTGAAAATGAAACATTTTAAGCTGTGACAGCGGTTAAACAAACATTTAATGCTGACAATGCGAGAGTTCACTCAAAACGCACATCAGGTCACGTCTTGTCGTGGCTAGCCCCCTCCCCAGAATATAAGAAACTGGCTCATTGCTTTTCCTTAAAAACTCCCCCTCCGCTTCCTCTACAGGCTGCAGGTGGTGAGTTAGTCATGTGTTGCTAGCTTGGAGAAGGTTTCTTCTTTAGTCATAAGCCCCTGGGCTTTGTTTGAGGACTGACTGGTGTGTGTGTGTGTGTGTGCGCGAGCGTGTGTGTGTTGAACAGAATGGCTGTGTTTACACAGGAATCACTGTGCACATGCACGTCGACACATTCACAAGCCGTGCGCGCATGCAGGCTTTTCTTCTTTTTCCTTTAGGTTAAAGATGAGTGTTGGGTTTTAGAAACTGGACACCAGTTTTACAAAGTTATCACAACACCCGCATGGGCGGCAGTTTCAGAAAGGCCTTTGACATCTGTCTTTCTGGAGTTTAAACATTTTTTTCCCCTTTTCCCTCTAATCATTATCCTGTCAGTTCAGGCTCGGTTCGTCTCATTTATTCACTGTGCTCCTCCTTGTGCAGGGCGCTTGCTGAGACCAGAGGGTTCCCTGCGAGAGGGAGCACAAGGCAAACATCATGGCTTTAGCAGGATGCCCTGACTACTTTTTACGTCACTCAAACTACCAGGTAAATATTTTCTGAGCTTTGTGCTTGTTTGCATGTCAGTGGTACAGAGCGTGAATGAATGTTTTGAAGTAGCGCGGCTCTGAAATTCAGGGTTTTTTTTTTTTTTTTTTTTTTACATAGCAGTGTGAGCGCCAACCTGGATTGATTGAGAACTATCTGATTTGTGGCTCGACGCTTTATTATGTGGCTCCAGCGTCATTTATAGAAACCTTTATGTTGTTTTACTTTATAGGAAGAATATACTATGAAAATTTTTTGTACCAGCAATGTGGTGCTCTGATTTTCCTGATGTTTTGCTCAAGGTCTTAGATCTTCTCTTTTGTTTGTCAAGTGTTTTTTATTTTGCTTTTCTTGCTGTTGAACTGTAAGTTAAATGCACTAGTTACAAGAGTGATTTAAAAAAACCAAGCTGCACTAATTATTAGAATTGTCCTACTTTTGTCTTGAACTAATTGATGATCTCAAGTGCTACTTTTCTTATTAATTATGTTATTAATTATATTTATCACACATAGAAATGGTCTCTAAATGAATTACCCTACAGCAAACTCCATTTATTTATTTTTTACTCAAGTACAATAAAAATCAAAATAAATATAGGTGCCATAAGAACAAAAACAGAGAAGAGAGAGAAGGATAGAGGACAAAAAACCCCCCTAGAAGCCTGCTTCTCCGCCTGCAGAAAGGGAGACAAAACATAACCGAGAAACCACAGTAACAAACATGTGCATGTATAACAGCAATGAAATTGTCAACTACTTGGATAGTTGACATTTGTAATGTCTTTTAACCGATTCGCATCTGAAATAATAACCTGTTGGGATTTTCCTCCCCATTCTTATATTTTAGGAAGCTGTGAAAGTATTTTCACAATAACGTTCAAAGTATCACCTTTGGAAAGGCTGCCAATAAGCCCCGATCTTCTTTGTGGTGGCACAATAATTCATGTAAAATCATCGTAAAGGCCGACACTTTGATATTTGAGAACGATCTAAAAAGTCAGTAAAGTTTCTGCGTCTGCACGAGTGAAAGAGTAAACATGCCAGACAGAACTAGCTAATATTGCAGGGGCTCCGACTTAATACAATTACGACAGGCAGTCCAGCACATAAACAGTCCGGTGCAATATAGTGGACGCAGACTTAATTGTACAGGTGAATCCAGGGTATGATTATCAGTGTAATATCGTCATGTGATCAGCAATAGGCTTAAAGAAAGCAGCTGTTTATTTCTAAGTGTCTTGGAGAAACCTGTTTTCAGACTAAAGGGTTTTAAAAGTGTGGGTGTGCAGCACTAATTTTCACTTCAAAGTTTATTTTTCTGAGCTTAGTTAGTCTTCAACAGCCCTTGAAGTAGAATAATAATAAAAAAGAACAAACAAAACGTAGGAATGTGGTGTGATCTTCTAATCTGGATATGAAACATTTGTCAAAGCTGAGCTAGAATTACTAGCTTGTTTTAACATTAACTAATGAGCGGTCTGTTGGATAAAGGCTTTTTAGAACTGGGTTGAAAAAAATAAATAAATCAGAGTCTTAAGACAGACTCAGATTTATCTCCCCATAAAATGGGCCTTATATTTCAGAGCTACAGTTTCCCCAATTATTTAATGGCACAGCTTTAAATCCTGAGAAATGGTTCAACAAATGCAGACAAGGCTCAACCTGCACACTCATAAAAAGGTTTTTGGGACCAATATCAAACACCAAATGGGCTGATATCTTTTGAAGCATTAGGTCTTTATATTGCTTGAAAATACTCAGACTCTATAGTAGACTCTATAGTATAAAATACCAGTTTGCTCTTTAATAACGTTTCCAAAACAAATTAAAGAGCAATGCAGGTCATTATTTACAACAGATAAGAAACATGTATTTCTACTGCTGCTTAAGTGATGTAGCATTTATTATTACAGTAGTAGGGATGTTTAAGTGCATGCTGTGCAGAATACAATACCTTTGTGTTGTTCTGCTCTTTACTCCAAGTTGGTGGTTTAATTAGTTGGGCTCTCTGCTCAAATAGTCAATAATCAGCTGTTCAACAGAAATGTTCTGTGTACCGTTTTCACAACCTGAAATATTTTCCAAGCTCTTGACTATGACTCTTTTGTAAGCAATGGCGTAAGCTCTTCTTTAGCCAGCTGAACAGCAGTGTGCAGAAGGGCAACTCTTACTTTACACACCCAGATAAAGCTCTGATCAGACCGACACTTTCTCTTGCATATCCTCAAACGGTCAGTAAGCCACTGGAACTTTTTAAAACCTTAATTTACCTCGACACCAGTGACCAGCTGAGTTTATCACTTCTCTGCCAGCGAGTTTTGCTCTTGTTAGACGCTGCTGGAATAGGTTTAAAGGCCCCAGAATTCATGCAGATGTCAGAAATCGACCCATATTGACGTCGGCGCATGACGAAAATTGTGTCATTTTGTTTGCAGAGCTGTCCGCCTGCCGAACTTGACACTTGACCCAGGTCGATCCTATGAACAGAGCAGAGTGGTTGGCAGGAGTTTAACCAATCACATCAATATTAGTCTGCTTGAAAACTTAGTCCACTACCTGGTTTTTGTGTCTGTAAGACATAAATACTTTTGAGGAACGTTCACTTGACACAGTGAGGAATTATGTACGATTGTATGATTCTTCACTAAGTAACTACTATTATACTACAATTGGCAAATGGTTAATAACTCCTGGATGGAAATTGTAATGTGTAGGCTGTGATTTTCCTGATGTATGCAGGAGTGGTGTGTGCTAGATGGTCTGTGCCGTTGTACGAAAGGTGTGCGTAATGATGACCTTGCCAAAGTCGCACGACTGCCCATCTTCTGTTTGGTTACGGATAAAGTATGTGGGAGTTGTAATAGTTCAGTTATTTATTGCATAAAATGACAGCCTCTGGATTATAGTTCTGCAAACCTCTCTTGGGGTCTGCATGTGTGCAGTAGCCAGGCCTCTTACCTCGAGGTTGGGGTCTCTCAGTCTGGTTCGGTGAAATATGGCGTCTCTGCAACACAACAGACCCACTTCCAGTGTCCAAATCCTTGCAGAATGAGCCCTTTGTTTCTCCGTTTGGGGTTTCTCCTTTCCAACTCTGCAGCAACCTAAGGAATTTGGTTGAACAGCATTGTGGCGCTCTATAAATAGAACTACTAAACAAACACTGTTAACAAGCTGCGGACTTTGTTTTGTGACAGGCTTTTGGGATTGACGTTGTGACGTCTCGCTGCGACTCAGTGAGATGAAGGAGGTGACGTAACGTCAGCCGCCTTGTTGCTCTGGGTGGAGGTACAAACGTGAAGCCTCCTGCTAGCCCAAACCGTGGGACTGCAGAGCTCCAGTTGAGCTGACATTAAGTTGAATTGGTTCTCTTTAGCTTCCAGGAAGAAGTCTTTGCTCCAGAAAGACCGCAGTGAATAGTGAATTGAGTGTCCACAGAAAACATTCCACCATCCTACATCTAGTGCAGGGAAAAAAGCAGATTTAGGTTGTGAAACAGAAAGAAGCTGGCTGTAACGTCGCCGTGTGTTCTTGTGTGAAGTTTGCCAATTGAGATGAGACTGCATGTTTCCCTCCAACCCCCCCGTGGAGTTTTTCTCTGGGTGTAGTTTGTATAGATAACGAGCAAATGAGCTGTCCCTGTGTGAACTTACATAATGCTATACATAACGGCTGGGATGTTTGGGAATCTGGGCACTGCTCCACTCCTGTCTCCTGTGTGTGTGTGTGTGTGTGTGTGTGTGTGTGTGTGTGTGTGTGCGTGCGTGCGTGTGTGTGTGCGTGTGTGTGTGTGTGTGTCAGTGAGAGCTTTGGAGCAGTGCCAGAGATGTATCAGATTGAGTCGGCTGTAAGTCGTTCTTTCTTTTCTCGCTCTCTTTGCAAATCTGTCTTTTTGTGGGTAAGTTTACATTTGCAAATGTGTATTTGTTCCTGTTACACAACACCAAAACATTTTGACTTGCAGCTTTGTTGAGTCGTGGCTTTAGTTGTTCAGGAAAGAAAGAGGAAGGGTGGGCAATTTAATGCTTCAGTATTTTCAAAATATAAATATTTTTATTCCTTTTCTCATCTGTTTAAATGTTGTATTCTTTCTTTATGTCGTTTTTGCTTTCCACTTTTCCATTATCTTTTTTTCTGTTTTCTGTCTTTTTTCCTTGTTCTTTCTTTACTTGTGTCTGTGTTCACTGTGTCTCCCCTCATGTTTTCCTTTGTTTCTCGTCACTATTAAATTTTGGAGGTAGTTTTCTAATGAATACTCTTCTTGTGGAGACTGATGTCCTTTCTTTTTAAAGGAACACAAGCCTAACATGTTGTTAGCAGGTGAAATCGTGGGGCATGCTGCTCGAGTTGGTCACTTATCAGACATGCCACTTGTGGCGCGTGGCTTTTTTTTCACAGCTGGGAACATTTCCAAACATCCATACGTGTAGCTTTTGTAAGGAAAAAGTTTAGAAGCTCTCATTAGTTATGCACCATGGATGAATTTTTATCGATCCAAAATAATAATCAGTTCTTCAACACAAGTACTAAAGGCTACTTTTACCATCAGCTTTGCTAATCATGTTCAGTGTTTCCCAGTAGAAATATACTGATTGGCAATGACTACAAATGGACCCTGTGTGTTGCAATAAATCCCATCAAAAAACAAGTTGAATTTGTTAAAGCACCAAGCTTCATTTTATATTTCATTTAATTTGAAAAAACTTTAGAAAGCTCAAAGGGGAATTCAATGTTGATCAAATGACAACATTGAAGCTTCTCCACAGTTCATCATTGCTTCTGCTTCTTCAGTTTGATCACTACAATGAGTGTGGTTGTAGTACATATATATGTATAAGTAAATGAACTTAAAAAGAACATAAAACACTCTTGTCATTTTGTAATTGTCAGGTACTGCTGTTTATGTATCTGAACACAATTATGGGGAATGCGGCCATTATAATCGACTCTTTTATAGCAAGAGCGCTTTGAGTTAAGGGGTCTTTTTAGCAGCAGTTAACAGTGCTGCTACTGATGACTCCTACTGGACCCAGAATGCTGCTCTTCCTCAAACCCCACACAGTCACTGCCTTGTGCCCTGGAGGAGGCAGGCTGATGCAGGACTGGGCAGTGCGATCAAGATATACCTGGAGAGGGGTTTTTGTTTTTAAATAAACATTTTCATATTTTGTAATCATTTCTAAAGATACTGCTGTACTTTCAAAGTTTAAATTGTGCATATTTGCTTCCTGAAGCTGGTTTTCAGTGGGAGTTCAGAGGAGCTGCTGTACCTCAGCCCTCGCGAAAGTCTGCAGTCAGACCACAGGCCCAGCAGCCAAGATGTCTTCCTTGGAAAGCTTTTGGCTGCTGCTTCTCAGAGCTATAAATCTCGCTCCTGGCATTTATGGATGTTTTCGAAGCACAGAGGGGAGATGCGAGCCGGTGTGTATGTGTGTGCATGCATGCACAACAGGACTCCTGGCCGCGAGCAGTTCCTGGCCGCGAGCAGTTCCTGGAAGCGGCGCTTCCGCGTTCTTCCTTTTCCTGGAAAAGGGAAGATTTTCAAATTTGGCTTTTGGGCCTTTGTTTCTCTCAGACAGCTTTCTCGCCTCCAGGCTGTTTCGGATTAGTAAAGCTCACCATTCTCCGTGTCCCCAGATGTGTGACAGTGCTGTGGTTGTTCTGTTTGTTTTTGTCTTTTAGCTGCAGATGTGTTGATGAAACCGAAACGCTGCAGGATGTGCTTCATGTTTGTATTGGACAGAGGTGGCAGTGACAGCTGGAGGTCATCAGGGTCATGGGGTTAGCATATGGCTTGACGTTACTGGAAAGCAGAGCCCACAACCGTTTGAACTCGTGGGATTTCATCCTTCAGGAAAACCTCCGGCACCCTAAGCGTGTGGCTGGATTACGTTAACTTTTAAATTAAAGATTTACATTTTTTTGGGGGCAGGAAAGGATGGAGCGCACTTCCTCCCGCCGGCCTGAGGAGCTGATCGTTTCTGGCTTTCAGCGCGCAGCCAGTCAAGCTTCGCCACATCACCATGGTAATGCCCCGCTCTCCTCCACATCCATTTTCGTAACACATTTTTTGACATTTGATGTGAAAACTGATTGAAACACAATTAATTGGCGTAATGTACCGATTTGGTTCAATATGCTTATCAATGTAGGACACACCTACATCCAGCGTTGTGCTAATTCACAAGAGCTAGTTCAAAGTTCAGATAACACCGATTTCTAACTCACACTTTCCAAATTTCAAAACTTAAAAATAAGTAAATTTACATTTATTTATTCATTTCCGTCTACAAGAAAATCGTTTCCACTAACTTAAATTTTGACAAATGACATTATCCCTTAGTTTGCTTAATTTGGTATCACTGGACAGCTTTTATAATCATAATTTTAAAAGGGTATTCTGGCAAAGTTGAGCTTCAGACTGCTCTAAACTACAACACACACTTGAAAAATCAAAAACAGATCTGAGTCCAATCATCAGTCAAAATGATTGTGTTCATGTTTCACTGCTGAGAATGTTTAATATTTGCTTAAATTTAGTAAATGAGATGATTTGTTTCAAATGTAGCTGACTTGGGAGCTGATTTCATGCATCAGGAGGAGAATATTTAAGGAAGTAACTTCTGTCACGTTCAAAGTACAGCAAGGTTTATGCTCCTTTCCATGCACAATGGTCACAAAGTCAACAAACGCAGCATTAGGTTGGCATTACACAAATATGTAACAGTGTGACCACCTGGTACTTATCAGTTTTTTTCCCTTACCTAGAAATAAAATAAAATGCATGCATCTTCCTTTGTATGAGAGAGCTGGTGTTTCCTCTATTCACACGCAGAGATCATATTGTTGGATGTTGTCACTTTGAGCTCCACTCAGTTGTTTCTCAAGTTTAATTAAAGGGCCTAATGAAGCTCAGCATTATCTGAAAGCATTGCTGTCTGATAAACCTGCTCATTTTAGGGCTATTTTTGTACAGCATGGATTACCAGTTCAGTAATAAACACTTAAATCAAACTAGGTTGGGTAAAGTACTATACAGTTGCGTGTAAAGTATGCCAAGAGGGAGATTTACTTGGAAAAGTTATGTTCCAGCTTTTGTGGTCACGATACAAAACAAATGGTTCTAATTTCCCGCATATGTGTTTAGTGTGAGGTAAGTGTACTGCATTGATAAGGGTTGGAAAAGATCCTCATATTAAAATTTCTGTTGTGGAAACTATTTCTCCAATGGTTTAGCGTTCTGAAACTAATTTAAAACCGAAGAAAGGGTGACTCACACAGATGCAGATGCACAAAGGCAACCCAATTAATAGTTGCTGTTTTGCAGAAAACATGATTATAAATCTTTGTTTTAGTATTTATTTTTATTTTTTTATTGAGCCATGCAGTAAAGAATTTTGAAAGGCAAAATATTCCTCTGTCACGTTGCTCCATTATCCTACAGCTTTTGTTCTGTCCATTTTTCACACATCATCTCCTCTTTTGATTGCTGTCGTCATGGAGCCAAACAGATGATGGCCTACTTAACGCTCGCTGACTTCCTAGAAGTCCCTCTCTCTAATTGCCCAACTTTTACGCCATCAAGGAAACTGTCTCCCTTCATCAGTTCATGCTCTGCTCACCATATGGAGACGTTGCTCACGCCCCTTTCTCTCACAATGCCTCCCCGTACACTCACAACCTCATCGTAAATCATCATTACGTGGAGTCGTCATAATGCAAAACTACATAAACCAGTCTAATAAAATTAAACCATAGCAATGCAGGTGTAGGCTTGTGGGGCAGAGGAGAGGATAAGGTAAAGCAGGTCCTTATTCTGACAGGAAGACTCATGACATAATTTATATTCACTTATCCTCTTGCTTGTTCAAGAAAATGTAAGTATTGTGTAAAAATAAAGCACATCAGAGCATTAAATTGCTAATCTTAAAGCTTAAATATCTGCAATATGATTTGTATTTATTAAACTTCAATCTTTGGTCTTTTGCACATTCTCTACCTGAGGGGAAATTATGTCTTTTACATCCCAGTAAGTTACAGCTGATATTATGATGATTTCTAGATGTTTGTCCTTGTTTTAGGTTTAAAACAAGGGTGGCTCGATAAGAATCGAGCCACCCATCAGACTTCCTTGGACAATTTCCTGTCTCTTGTTTTTTTGTAAAAACTCATCTGCTATTATGGGTTTTAGTCACTTTTAATCAAAATTACGTGAAGTGTAAAACAAAGGTTGGCCTTTCTGCCTCAATAGGACATTTAAAACATAGCACTATAATCAGAGCAGATACTGTCCTGGATTTGAGAGAGCAGTCCATGTAAAACAGGACCTCAACTCAGATTAACCAGAGCTACTTTTCTGTTGTGTGTTTGACTTCTTTTATTCCCTGAAGTCAATTTGCTCCGTCGCCAGTTCGACAAAACATCCCAAAGGTGGGTGGGAATTGAGCAGGGACTGGAGAGCACATTTAAAATCAGTCAAACTCCCATAGTGCCAGGAAACGATTGCGCGCATAAACATGTTTATGAATTAAACATTTTTACCGCTACTCTTCAGGTAGTGTTGAAAACGTCTCTGGAAATCACAAAACATGCATTTCTTCAAATACAATCTATGTGTGTGTGCTGAAGGGTCAACAGTATCAAACTAAAAAAGTTAAGGAACAGAGAAATCAGAAAGATCTCGCATTGCCAGTACCTATGAGAATAAATTGATCATCAAATGTTATCAATATTCCTGTTCAAACCCTGATTTATCCTCTCTTAAAGCATGTGTACAACTATGTCTCTTTAAGGCTTAAAACCGGTATAAAATAAAAATCATATCTCAGTTTGGACAAAAAAAACTCTGTTTTCTATTCAAAAACCTGCATCTCGTGGACTCCAGCACCACACAGCAGCCATGAATGACTGAAAACAAGTGGAAGTCTCCACAATAAAGTTTTGCACATTACAGAACGGGCTTGAGTCAAAGTCACTCGGATAAAATTACGTTTTGGCCCTACATATCTCGGACACTTTACATCAGCCTCACTAATGGATTGGTTTATATTTAGACGGGCTCAGGTTGCGTGCCCTTCGTTTATGATAGCCCCATCAGTCTTCCTGATAACCTGACAACACGCTTTATTGGCAGCGAAGCCCAAAAGCACCACCTGCAACATAAACGCTACAGATGTGTTTTGTTAATAGATAAATTAAGTATTTTAAGCAAGCAAAAAAAATAAGTAAGATTCAGGCTAATAATAACTACTATCCTTATGTTTCATAATGAAAACACTCCAGGTTTCCTTACTGACCTCGAGGCAGTGGTTGGGGATCAATAATTGCTGGTTTTTGTGGCTTTGGGTTAGTGTATTTTGAGATCCTAGAGGAACGGACCATCCACTTTGCATGGCATGTTTTGTTGTCAGATGCTAACCAGACAGCTGCAGCAAGTCCTTCACATTCCAGGTCAAAGTAAATGGACAAGAAGGAGAAGGCATTTTCTTTCTATATGTCCTCTGGGCTCCATGTGCAAAGCCAACAGTGGAGTTGGCCAAGCCAGCCGCAGGAGGAGGGAGAGGAATGCCAATGAAACCATCATTATCCTCCTAAAGCTGCACAGGGCTGCTTTTTTTATTATTATTTAAGACTTTGGTAGGCTAAATGATAAAGCGCCGTTGCAACAGTGAAAAGACAGATTAAAACCCTTGAAACCTGGAAGCGTGTGCGTGGTGTGGGATCTCCATATTAGTGGACATAAAATATTGATTTAAGGGTTTGTTCCCATGTTTTGCCAAGACACAGATGAATTACACTTTTAAAACATGCCCACAGAAATCTCAGCTCGCCAGCGGCAGCTGCTTATTTTTTAATTAAGTCCAGCAAAAGCGATCCTGGACAGGAGCGAACGCTCACTGCTCCAAAAAGGCCCCAGTTGATAAAAATCTTCCAGTATTTTCCATGGACTAAAATTACCCTAATTGTGCAGGTTGATAGCTAAGACAGGAGTTTACAATCCAGATGTTTTTTCTCTGCAGTTGACTTGACTGTTTTTATTCTTGGGACTTGCTCAGTAATATTGCCTCCATCGAATATGTTGGTGCCTATTAAAGTTTTTGATGGATGGACTTGAGCTCAGTTGAACATTCATCCCATTAGTGGCTACAAAGGACTCACTGTTTAGTTGTTTGATCTTGACTTATGCTGTCTCCCTGCGCTATAAAAGCATGTTTTTGGTGTGGATAGCAAGCCAAAGACATTTAAAATCCCTTTATTTATATCCTGTCACACTTTTATGCATCTTTCTCATGTTTCAATGATGTACAAAAGTGTGTCGCGTTAAACATCTTTAAAGGATTCCCGTTCATACCGATGCTCCACTGGTACTCGAATCTCACGTCAGTGACCTGATAATAATGTTAATTAATTTTATGGCATGCCATGCAGATGTTTGGTCTACACCAGAAAAGTTCACTGAACCTAACATGCTAAATGCTTGGAGTGACTGTAAAAGATAACATGGGGAAATTTTAAGAGACAGTAACGCATTCAAACCGTATATTTTGCAATGCCCAACTTGAATCACACCCATTATTCAAAACGGTGAAGATCGTAGGAAGTAACTTTATACATTTAGTATATCATCTACCCTGCCAAATGTGGCATTATAAGACACCACGTGATGGCAGTGTTACATCATTGGTAGATTTATTTAACGCAACACTTGGTTTCCCAGAGCAGTGCTGCTGACATTACTTTTGGGAGTAGGAAGATTTTGTGGTTTCAAACTTTTGATTAAACGGGATAACTCTTTGTAAACATTGGATCATTTTTTTTTACTATAAAAAGCAATAAAATGGCAACAATTGATTAAAAATCAACCTCATCCAGAATCAGATGGTAAAGCTTGAGTGAGCTTTACATAAGAATCACGTTGGTCGTTTTCTACTCTCCGGGTTTTAGTCCCAATTGTCCTCTGGCCCTTTCACACACCCATCTCCTGTCCCACCCATGAACCTGAACATCACTTGACCCTGTGTCCCAGTCTGTGCTCTTTGTGTGTGCTGGACTGTCAGGCCATGGCTCTCTGTGATCCAAACATGAGCGGCGACTCCTGTTTTTTTTGGAACAGCAAATTCCCTTTTGCTCTTTGTGTTCGCCATGTGTCTAAAGCACAGCACAGTGTTTTCTTTAAAAAAAAAAAAAAAAAAAAAAAAACTTGTATAATCCAAAGCACGTGTTGGTGTGCGCTGCACATTGCACATGGTGTCCCATCCTTGTTCCGAAGCGTGCATGTGTGTAGGGTGTTTTGCTGCTCTGCTTCGTCCTGACCATTTAAGCCACCGTGTGCAATGAGCGGACGAGTTAACGCTCCCAGAGCTCAGTAATTTCTTCCTCCAGGAATGTTTGGAATTCTCTGAGCGGTGTTGGGGTGGGACTCACTTACGACTGAAGGGCTTTAGACACAGATATATACACAAACACATGCAGAAACACTCTGAGGGGGTAGTTGTGGACTTTTAAAGAGGGTTTAATGTGAAGTTTTTTCTTTTCAATGAGGGGAACTGTTTTCCATCCTGCTTTTACACTTTTTCTCCCTCTCTAAGTCTGGCTCTTTCTTTAAATCTTAGAGAAATCTCCTGAGGAATTCAATGATTGTTTTAGAGCAGCAAATAATCTGCACGTTGCTCAACTCCAAGGCTCATTGACACTTGGCCTCTCAAGTCCCTGGAGGACTTTAGCTAATTAAAAACGGTTCAGTGATGATCCTTCACATTTCATACCGGCTTGGTTTGCATGGTGGCTTTTCTGGCTGCAACCACCATACTTTGTCAGATGTATCAGTCTTTTTCAATGTCAGACTTTATATTGATGAAGTGTACTTGACAGACTTTTTAGGTAATCCAGGTAGATGTAAAATCCAACGTTGGGTGTTTTTACACCTGAGACTCAGTTCGCCTGGGGACCAGAATTGCAACATTTGTTGCATTTTCAGCTGGTACGGTTTGCTTTCACACCGCCCCTCATCAGATGAACAAAACCATTTCACCTCCTCGCCTTTTGGCGGCGCTGCAATAAGAACCGCAAAAAAACTTCAGAAAAACGCACAGAATGCACAAAAATGCACTTAAAAAAAAGAAAAAAGGTGGGATAAGATGATGTAACACAATTATCTGTTCGATAACCTACATTTCTATGACATGAAACCAGAAGGTTCATTAAGCAAACATGGCAAAACTCATGGCTGGGGTGTATTACGTTTGGATGGTTTATGTGTATTATTGGCCACCATAAATTGAGCTGACCAGTGATTATTGGGAAAGTAAGGCTGAGTGTTGTGTGTCAAGGCAGAATGACAAAATATACATTTCCACAGTGTTTACTCTGAAGAACTTATAAAATAGCCATTGCTCATGATGGGCTAGCATTTTCAGACTAGCTCAAGTGCACTTCTGCCTTTTCCCTTGGAAAAACTTTTGCTTGTGATAAAAGTATGGGGTCATGTTTTTGTTCAAATATATTTTTACCATGGGTAGGTAAGGAACTTTTTTGGCCTCTTATAAGTTACCTCGGTTAATCTCTTAATTAATAGAGTGGAGGGGCACAACTGTGTTAAACGCTGCCTCTCACTTCTTTCTCACTCTCTTCTTCTTTCTCCTCTTCTCTTCCCACAACCCAGCTGCCTCCACAGATGACGACGTGGACCTGGAGCAGCTGGTGAATGACATGAACTCCTCTGTGGAGAGCGTGCAGTCCACGCAGGCAGAGACGGCGCTCCTCCTAAACAACGGTCACATGCACACGTCTCACCACCAGCAGGCTGCCCTTCTGGGACACGGCCAGGTCCACCGTCGCCACACCCCGCCCCTGCGGCCCTCGCTTCCCTCCAGGGAAGGACTGAAGCACTCTCAGCCCATGCACATCCAGGCTGTCAGGTAAACGCACCAAGCCTTTGGCCCTGTGTGTGTCTGACCACCTTAAATGTAATTAGAGGAGAGCTGGCAGCTTCCAGAAATGATCTCTTTTCTATAGCTACAATGGTGTATTAAAGGTCAAAGTCAGCTGTAAATTAGATTAAGGGGATTTCCTGCAGAAAACAAATACACAGAATTTATTTTATGGTCAATCCAGTACAGTTCTGTCCCTTCCCTGATGCATCAAATAAAACGATAATAAAAGTGTACATGTATGAACATGCGGTGAGTATTTTACACATTACATTTTCTCACTTTATAACCACAAACTTCAGTGTATTTCATTGCCTTTTTATGTGCTGGACCAACACAAAGTTGTGCATAACTGTGAGTGGGAAGAAAAATGATGAATGATTTTTAAAAATTTTATTAGCTTGCAGCTGCAAATCCAGCTGCAAGTCTTTTGTAGCTACCAGCTTTGCTTATCTAGCGACTTTGAGTTGGCTAAGTTCATTCAGGAGGAAGAGAAAGCATCTGTGAACATCCAATGTCCAAGTCATTTTTAACATAATCTAAGTGGAATTTAGTGCTTATTATAGTGATTATTCCTTTGTAGCTTTGGCTGTGTGTTTTGAGTCACAAGCTGAAACTTTGCTTCAATCAAGTCTTTCTCGCCCTTTAGCAGGGATTTTTCATCGTTTATTTTTCTTCTAATTAATTCTTACAAGCTTCCTTGCACTTGTTCAATCAAACCACTCCAGGCCACCGTATTTCACCGTGACGACAGTGTGTTCGAACTGATGTGGTGGTAACTTCATGCTTGTTTGCTAAAGTCTGGTCTTATTTTACCATAACATCTGTTTGCTGTATCCTCTACATGGCCTGTGGCTAAATGCAAGATGGACTTCTTATAGTTTCTTTCAATAGTGGCTTGTTTTTCTTACATAAAGGTTAAATCTGTGGACTGAACCGTGTCTGCAGCTTTCACATGATACAAACATCAAATATTGCTATTTATTCTAATGTTAAACTACACAGACGGACTCAATTCAGTGCTAATTTTGCGATTTCTGGTGGGTTTTAGTTGTACTGAAACTTTAGGGCTGTCAGCACACAGAAGGTTGAGCAGGAATGAAACGCCACATTTTTTACATTTGTATTTGTCAAAAAGTTTGAAACTGGGGTTAATTTTCCTATTTTCCCAGTATTTTTCCCATCACATTATAATACACAGAGGTTTGTGTCTTGTACTTTTCATGTGCTGATCATTTCTGTTCTCACATTCTAGTCGAACGTTCAGCGTTCAGTCTTTTATGTTCTGTATGTGTTCATTCTGGAGCAACAACATAAATGTATTTGTCTCCCTCTGCAGGTACCTAAAGGAAGAGCAGAACTTGCGTCCCGCCTCCCTGCCCGCCATCCCCAACCCTTTCCCAGAGCTGTGCAGCCCAGCAGGATCCCCCATTCTCAGCCCGATTCAAACCTCCGACAGCCATGCAAGTACACCTTCAGCACACCCTTTGTTCTCCTAACATTAAAAACATCAAACTACAAACCAGGAAGAGAAAGAACATATTAGCAGTGTTAGTTATTTCCCTCCCTTTTGGCTTCCTATCATATTGATTGATCAGTAACGGGGCAGTGAGTTTGTGTGAATGTAAATCTGGAAGCGTTCAGAAATCAGCTGAGTGGCCCTTTAGTCTCAGGTCAAAGTTGACTTTGGGTTCGCACTAAGCTTTTCTTCCCTGACATCACATCTCACCCTGGGTTATCTGACCCTGCGTGTGTGTGTGTGTGTGTGTGTGTGTGTGTTTGTGTGTGCTCCTGCGCCGTCATCACTATCAATCATGCACACACAAACACAGAGACGTGTTTCGCTGGGGTTGAAGGTGAGCCGTGTCTCCAGGATGCCGCAGACGGAGTGCAGACTTCCGTTGCCGAACCGACGACCTGAATGGGAACGTCTTTGAGTCGGATCTCCCTGAACCTCCTGAATCCGTCTGCCGGATTTGACAGGACACACTCATTTCCGCAGTTCACACGCTTTTACCCTGGCTATGTGCGTTAATGTGTGTGTCTGTCACAGTCTTGCCCTTCCTTCCCTCCTGTTCGGCCTGCTGTTCCAGGAATGTTCCATCCGTCTCAAAGATGTTTTCAGGATGCCCACCCTGAACAACAACTTCTTTTAGATGGCCACTCACTTATCCCTCACAAAGCTTCCCAGATGGGCTGTAACAGATACGTGATAAGAAAAAGCATTATTTTAGCATTTTGTTGACATCATCTCACAAGGTCTGGAGTCACAAAGCAAGTCTGCATTTCGTACAATGAGTCCTTTGTGTGCATGTGAGGCTGACAGCGAACTAAATGTTGCCTCATGTTTTTTCCACATTATCTTCATTATGTCCACATTTTGTCCATTTAACTATTAGCCCATGTGTCCAAACAGGCAAGCATTTTCCATTAGATGTGTGTTTAACATTCAACTAACTTTTACATCCATTTTTTTCAATGCAACACAACTGAGTTAGTACAGACTGTATCATACTGAACACTGATTGCTTACCAAGTAGTTTTTTGTCTAATTTCCAGGGAAAATATCTCGGTACACTTGAAATGAGATAAAAATAACTTATAAGTAATAATTCAGCAAGATATAGGAGCTTGTTTCAAGTCAGTAATTTCTTAACATTGAAGAAAAAGTAGTAATTGGATTGGCAGATTATTTCACTTTCAATAAAACATTTTCCACTTGTGATAAGTGAAATGATCTGCCAATAGAGCTCTCACTTTCTCATCAAAGTTAAGAAATTATTGACTAAATAATTCCTTATTTAGTCAATAAATAAGGAATTTATTTAAGCAACCCATAGGTTGCTGAAAAGTTACTTATAAATTAGTTTTGTCTTATTTCAAGTGTACTTGGTAAAATGTTGCGTTTTTGCATTATGATAGAAAAGTAGGAAGGTACTGGCATTTTTTATCATTAGCAGAACAGTGATGAAAACATTTTGATAGATGAAGCCTAAAACAAGGGAGCTCGACTGATAAATGTATCACATTTAGATCGGCAATGTTGCTTATTTAAGGGAACGTCTCTCCCACTCTGTTAGTTAACGATGACAGATTAAAATGGTTATGTGGATTGATACAGGACGCAGATTCCTTAATAAAATAAATGGAGCCTGAGTGAAGCATCCAGAAGAAACGGTCCAGTTGGGACACTTTTCGGTCTGCAGGCTGACTAACAATAAGTTTGTAAATGTTTCCATTCGCACGGAGCAGATCTGCCTAGTGCGACACGTCACAGGGCGTTGCTTGAGCGTCCAACAGACAGTCAGAACTAGACGGACCTCGTACTGGGCCAGGAGTGACCTCAATTCCAGTTTTAGCCCGTACCAATCATCTTTCCAGATACTGACGCAAACAGTTTTTTTATTTATTTTTTTGTTTATATTCAAAATGTCAGTACGATGATCATTGACGATATCAGACAAATATGATTTTAGGTTCTTTGACACAGGAGGAGTTTTGAAACTAGCAGAAAATAAAGGGATTACCAGATTATCCCAATTTATTTATGGGATATTTTTTCATGACTCAAGCCTAAGAACAAGTATGGAAATTAGTATCTGTATTTTCCACGTCTGGGAGAGAATGAAAAAAAGTTTGTATTTTTAACTCTTGATTTCCTTCCTAGTGCACTTAATTCAGTCCTTTCACCTTGTCCTTCCTCCCTTTTATTCTTCCTGTTTTTCTTTTATTCTTTCATTGTTTTGTCTTTTGTTCCTAGGGTCTTCCTCGTCTTCCTTGTCAATCTCTTCCCTTTCTTTTGATGTCCTATTTCTTCTTTTTTGTCCTTTCTTCCCCGTCTTCCTTTGTGTCTCCTCTCTTCACTTTAATTTCTTCACATCCACCCTTTTCTTTTCCTTCTTGCCTTCCTTCCTTGTAGTTTGTTTGTCGTTTTTGTCAGGTCTTGTACTTGTGCAATTCTGCTGTGAAAATTGCCTAAATTTACAGTAGAAGTTTGTATTTCATATCTAATTATGAACCTGAAGGACTGAACTCTGGAAAGTTTCCTGGAAAAATCTGGAATTCAAAAAATGTTGAATCAGAGGTTTACCAACACGAAAACGTCGAGCAGAAAAGTTTCAGTTTTGACAAATTTAATGAACCCCAGTTGATGGCGTGCTTAGGGTTCGTTACACAATCATTTCAATCAGCTGTTCTGGAGCAGGAACTCGTCTAAACATAAAGGACGGTGGACCAGTTGAGGACTCCTGCCCAGATGCACATGTTAATTACTTGGACATCTGTGCACCACACTTTCAGATCTAAAACAACCAGTCGACTTCATGCTAACCCAACACACGACTTGTCAGTCTCTGCTAATGCTGAAAGTACTTGGTCACAAGCTACGATCTGTGTTATACTGCATGTCTGAAATGATGAAACATTAAGGAACAAATAGGTTTTCAACTTTTCAGTAACAATATTGGAGGCTCCAAAAGTAGCTCGCACACACACTGCTTCTTTAATGTTTCTGCCTTGGGACTTATTTTCACAGGTCGTTCTGCGAGTTCCTGTCACGAGATCTGGCAGCTCTTTCTGCTGCACCGGTGGTCAGAACAGATCAGAACAGGTTGTGGGACAAACCAGACTAAAGCTCTCTTGTTAAAATAAAAATGGTTTGTTGGATATAATTCTGTATATTTTAACTCTTGATTTCCTTCCTAGTGCTTCCTTCCTTATTCTCAGTTGTAAAACTGAGAATAAGCTTGCTAAGGGTGGCTTGCTTAGCACTAATAGTTCTGACGATCGCTCTGGATTTGAGGAACAAACATCTTCATGTGGCGTGGAAACTTTAAGGATAATCATTTCATAACGTAGCGCGTGTCTTGACATGGTGCGTTTACTTTTAATAGGATAATACGCAAAATGAGCATCGACTCATCTTGAGCTGATAAAACTGTTGCTAATCAAATCCTTGTTATGTAAAATTGACAATTATAAGGTTATTCCCTCATCAAAAACGTACTTGGAATGTTGCCTTGATTCTCTCCTGCATGTTTGAGAAATTGTTTAATCTCTATGGAAACCATTCAGCTGAGCAAACACCGAGTGGCACACGTCCTTGGAGTTGCAGTTTCCGAGCTTCCTCCTCAGAGAGCAGCCCTACAAAATGGCATATGGGCCAGAAAAATACATACTTCCCCTTTAAATGCTGCTTAACAGGTTGACTCTGACATGTGCCGTTGCTGTAGCGATGCAGTGCTTGGTTGCGTTAAATGTAAGCTGACAGCTGGCATAGAGGACCTGTGTAGGTGTTATGAGAACATATACATATGAATATATGCAGGTCTGTAAATGATGCATGCCATGGAGCAGGAGGAGCATATGAATGCAGACGAGTCACACATATGTGCCGTGGGACGATCAGCTGATAGCTCTCTGGTGTTTTTCTCTTTGGGCTGTCGATGTGAAATTTATTCTGCAGATCCGCTAACAGGCTGACATTATGTCTCTGTCAGAAGTCCTAAATTGACTTTGGTCGGGGCTCCAGAGCCGTTTCTCATGGTTAATAATTCGAAAGGCCGTTTCCCATGCAGCTTGTGCCAGCCTTGCAACATTCATTTGAGACGTGTTTTCCCCCGCCTTTCACAGGGATTTGCTCAGGTCCCATCTGTCATCGTTGAGCAAATGCGTTTGCTTTGGCACCGTGGCTATAACGCAACTCGAGCTTTTATTTGTGGCCAGAGACAGTATAATCAACATCAGGGTTAGCGGGTTGGACCCAGCAATTAAATATACGCTCAGTCTCAAGCAGAGGATTTGGATGAATGCCATGTGTATCAGCAGGCCTCCTTGCTTTCCTCTGAAGTAGCTTTGAGCAAGACACTGAACTTGAGCCAGGTTCTGGTTACTGCTTCTCAGCTGACCCTGACCTCTGACCTTCTTAGGTGTTGGACGCTTTTGGATGGGTTTTCTGTCCATTATTTGCTCTGGTTTGATTTTTAGATAATTGCTGCTTGTAAAATCGGCTGATAGATTAGAGAAAAGGAAGGCCATGCAGGTGCTGTTTATAACCTTTAGCCTTTTCACATGTTGTCACATTATCACTAATAACTTTAATGGATTCTATTGGGATTTCAGGTGATAGACCAACTCAAAGCAGAGTGTTATTGGAAAGTTAAGTAATTATCAGCAGTCATTCTTCTCAAGTAATTAAAAAATTGATCTCTTTTTACTCTAACTCTGAAATAAAACAGCATTTCAGGGTTAAAAACAGAGTCTAGTGCAAACATTTGCCTTTTTAAGTAACTTTTTAAGTCATTAAGATCATGTTTTCTGATTTTTAAAATTTTTTCATTTATTTATTTTTTTTGACTCCTGAGTGCTCGATTAGTCCTGAACCCGAGTTGGACAAATTCATCATATACAGTATATACCAAAGAAGAAAGAAAAGTACATGTAGTGAGTCCGGCCTCAAAACACA